TAGCCAAGATTATAAGTGTTGAATAAGGGCTGTTAGGTCAATTATTAATTGTATTTTCTTACTCCACACTTGAAACACTCTTATAAATGTCTATAAGAACCATCATCATGTAATAGGAATCCTTGTATTGAATTTATCCCTATGTTAGTTAAATTCTTACATACTACCACTACTTGTGAACTAATAATGGCTAACACATAATTATCATTTCATTGGCCACCTTCATAGGGTTAACTCTCTCAGTTGACCTTTAAAAATTATTAAAAGTCATTTCCTCAATAAATGCATAAGCCTTGTCAAACAATTTAGACATCAAAAACCCTCTGCCTATAGTTGACCTCAGTGATCTAATTAGTTTATTATAAAAAGTTTTTAGAATCACCCAATCTAATGGTGCATGGTACTTGAATTTTTTAAGTCATTAAAACTCTCTCTCAAGCTTCATAAATTAACTCACTATCCATCTAGGTAAAAGAAGTTATATCATTCCTAAAATTAATAGTTTTGGATAATGGAAAGTATTTTATTATAAATTTTTGTACATTATCTTTCCATGTAGTGATTGACCAATGAGGCAAAGAGTTCAACCAAATGTTGGCCTTATATAAAAAAAAAAGAGAATTAATCAAAGCCTAATAACATCATCAAAGAAAAAGATCATACTTAAAAGATGCATAACTTTCTAAGAAACTGGCAATATCAAATTTAGGATTTTCTACATGTGATTTCCTAAAATGAGAATTTTGAACAATCTGAATAATTACTGCTTTGAGTTCAAATGAGCACTAATGGTAAGTTATCAATACTTTGGTGCACTCCATCTACCAAAACGTTTGCGAAGAAAAAACGCAATTGATCTTGTTTTATCATTTTCTCCTTGAGGGTTTGTCATTTATCATATGTTATTATTTTATTTTCTTTTTCTATTCAATAGTTTTTTAAATGTTTTTTTTTTTATTTCAGGATCAAAAGGTAAGATCTCACAAAGCTCAATCCTGTGCATGAAACACTTAGCATTAACCAGTGACTCGACATTAATTATATTAATACAAGCTCAATTTACAATTAAAGATAGTATGCATATGATAACTTAAATAAAAAAGCATGATAACAGAAAATTGAACTTAAGCATTTTAGACCGAGATTATAAAATTGTGGCGCTATTGTAATGACAATGTGGTATTGCAGCGCTTACTACATAATATAAATTTTAGATAAATCAAAATTGTAGATTTACATTACTACTTTCAAGTTTCGCAATGTATAATACAATATCATAACAATCAATTATAACTGATTATAAGACACTATAAAATTTAGATTACAACTTTTAAAACCTTTTAATTAATAATAATCTATTTTAAGAAATCAATGTCGCTCCAAACAATGGTGTCAAAAATTTAATGTGATGTGAACATACGCACATTTATACAATTATACATGTCGATCAAGAAGTTTAAGAATTAGAGTTTGAGTTATCAATTAAACAAGGAAATATTTTTAACTCTGAAATTAAGTCAAATAATAAAAAAAAAATTATCATTTTATCTGACACTTATGATTAGTTTTAGAAATTAAAGTAAGTAATGTAGTAAAAAAAATTTTATTATTAGGTTTTCAAATTTTGAACTCGGGATTTTTTTGAATTAGTGTTTGACCTTAGGCCTTAAATTATCTAAAAGTTCAAAAATATTATTGGAAATTAAGGGTATCACTCCATATATAGTATCTTTCGAGTTATTAAGAAGTGTGGGAGTTTCTAATTACAATTAGTGGAATAAACCATGTAAAAACTCCAAAGAATCCACATCCCTAAAAAATTTCACTTCTTATGTAGCAATATTTCTATTCTACTATAAGAATGTGAGTTAACCTAATCATTCTTTTGGTTTTATTTCAAATTCTGTAGATCATGATAAATATTAATAGGAAATAACCAATTCAACTATAAAAGAAGTAAAGAAGGTAACTTGGCAATTTATCTAATGTCAAATAAAAACAACATATAACATAACTTAAAAACTTAGTTCAAATACTAATCCAAATGAATAAAAACTTAGTTGCAAACCATTTATACAGGAACCATACTTTTTATTGCAACTTTAAAATAAAGTATAGGAGACAAGAAAGGGGATAAAAGAACACTTAGACTATGGCTCACAAAAATTTTTACTCTCCTGAAATTCACCTTCGAATGTCATCCTTGGTCCTCTTCCTCGCACTCTAACACTCAACAGATGCACTCTGCTCGCTCTACTGACTCCAATGTGCCTTTACACTCACTATGACAACTTACATGTCCACATAAGTCCACCGCCCTTCCCCCAAGAAATTGAAATTTGCACTTCAATAAATATCCTTGGTGGGGATGTCGTGTTACGGCTCTATGGTTATGGTGTTATAGTGTTGGGCCTAGCACTGTGACGCTCAAGATCATGTGTTAAGCCTCCAAGATCTCTCTCTCTCTTGCTCTCTCTCTCTATTTCTCTCTCTCTCTCTCTATCGCTCTCTCTCTCTCTCCTGATCATTTATTATGGATCAATGGTACTATGAACTTGGAAGATAGAGTTCAGGTATTGGATGAAGGCACTGAAGTTTTGAAAATTCAGTGTTAAAAACCTACACTCTCTATCTTTTGCTCCTTTTTATGTTTGCAATGGCATTAAGTCATATTTCATTGAAGCATTATGTTCGGATGCTTAGGAGTTGGATGGATGGTGTTATAACTTTGAGCTCTCAAGAATGAATTCTCTATGGGATACTCAACACAACACCAAAGTCATATGCTGGGAATAATAGCACCCTAATGAAATTTACCAGCTCCTATTTTCATCTTTAGGGGCTTTCATGAACAAAAACATATAACTTAACACATAACTACGCAATTTACAAAGTCAAATATGAAAGAATTATCGGTATTCATATAAGTTTTTTATGTGTTTTTCTTGCTCGACACTAATTCAACTTTTTCAACCCTATGTAGTGCTTCCACTTTTAGATCAATTACTAATAAATTTATTTATGAGTTTAATCATCTCTCTTATTATATCATGTTGTCTTTACTTCTAAATTTTATGAAACTTTTTAAATTAGTTTTCCCAAAGTCTTAAATTTATGTGCCTACTCTCAAATGAAAAATATTCATAAAGTATTTTTAACTCTCTACGTCATCTTATCAATTTGCTGATGATTTCATATCATTCTTTTTGAAAGATTATTATACATATAAAGTCAAATATGAAAGAATGATAGGTATTCATACAAGTTTTCTATGTGTTTTTCTTGCTCAACACTAATTCAACTTTTTCTACCCTATGTAGTGCTTCCACTTTTAGATCAATTACTAATATGAGTTCAATCATTTCTCTTATTATATCGTGTTGTCTTTATTTTTAAATTTTATGTAACTTTTTTAATTAGTTTTCCCAAAGTTTTAGATTTATGTGCCTAGTCTCAAATGAAAAATATTCATCAAGTATTTTTAACTCTCTACGTCATCTTATCAATTTGTTGATGATTTCATATCATTCTTTTTGAAAGATTATTATACATAATTTGTATCTATTTTCTTAAAATCCAATATATTTCATATGTATGTATATATAAAACTCTAGTAGTTTGATGCCATTTTATTCCTTGTTTTGTATTTAAAAATCCAAGCTTGTGAATGATGATTGGTGGTGTTCTTACAGCTAGCAAAGTTTATTATTTAATAAGGAATGATAATTTTGCTCTCTCTTCCACAATCAATTTGGTGATCTTCCTCCTAACAAACATGAAGACTATGTCTTACCTGTTAGTTGGGTAAACACTATCATGTAATTTTTTCGTTTTTAATAAATATTATTTGATATTTTTATTTTTTGCTAATCCAATTTAGACACTTAGTACCTTAGCCCTATTTATACTAATGCTTTATATAT